TTCTTTCCTGCTTTGTCAAAGATTAGTTGGCTAGAGGGAGAGAGAATCTTAAGCAGGCTCCCCATTTGGTGTGGAGCCCGCAGGGCTTGATCAGTGACCTTGAGATAATGACCTGAGCCGAAATCAAGAGTTGGATGCTCAGCTGACTGAGCCACCCAGTTGCCCCTTCAGTTTCATTTTGAATCCCTCCTGCCTTGATTTTGCCTGATAGAGGAGTCATTTACTATTTTTTTGTTTTGTTTCTTAAGTCAAATTCCAAAATGGAGACACATTCATTGCAACATTTTATGAAATCAGTACCTGTTTTGATTTTATGTGAGCTAAGAGTATCAAGTTAAACTGAGTGAGAATTGGTGTTTTGTGCAAGAATGGGTCAGGGAAGAATACAGTAGGGAAATAAGATTAAAGGAAGGGAGGGGCGCCTGGGTGGCTCAGTTGGTTGGGCCTCCACCTTGGGCTCTGGTCTTGTTCTTGCAGTCTTCCTTCTAGTTCAAGCTCCCCGCCTCAAGGCCAGGCTCACAGCTCAGAGCCTGGAGCCTGCTTCAGATTCTGTGTCCCTGCTCTCTCTCTCTGCCCCTCTCCCACTTGTGCTCTGTCTCACTATGTCTCTCAAAAATAAATGTTAAAAAAAAATTTAAAAATTTTAATGTTTTATTTATTTTTAAGACAGCATGAGTGGGGATGGGGCAGAGAGAGGGGGAGACACAGAATTCAAAGCAGGCTCCAGGCTCTGAGCTGTCAGCACAGAGCTCAACGCAGGGCTTGAACTCACCAACCGTGAGATCATGACCTGAGCCGAAGTCAGATGTTCAACTGACTGAGCCACCCGGGCGCCCCTAAAAAAAATTTTTTTAAAGGAAGGGAGGGGCATTTCTGACAGGAAAGTGGTATAAGCAAAGGCATTAAGTTGAGAATGTTATGAGTACAGGTTAGTTTGACTGGAACATATGTTTCATTTAGGGAAGTGGAGAGAGATAAGTGTGGAATTAAGCTTTAGTCTGTTAATGGAGGACCTTCAGTGTTAGTCTAAACTGTTTGTAGGTTTGTTATGGGTAGTGGTATGTCTTTGTATATGTAGGTATTTAGGCTGGTGTATGATAAATTGCATTTCAAGAAGATGAATCTTTCCCTTTTTTCCTTCAGACTGCTTATTCTGATTTTTAATTTAAAAAATTTTTAGTTAATGGCCTGTTGCCTAAGCCACAAGCTTATGACTTTCCCTTCAAATTTAGTCAAACACCAGTTCCATCCATTTTACTTCCTATTTATTTCTTTATTTGTAATTTCACTGCCGTAGACTTATGCCTCCTTATCTCTTTACAGGACTATTGCAATAGGTTACTTGTTTTCTCTGCTTTCATTCTTGCCCCCCCCCCAATCTATTCGTCAAACTACTCTATAAAAACTATAATATAAAATGAAAATCTGAGCATATCTTCCTTTGGTTTTATTTTTTATTTTTTATTTTTTTAGAATTTTTTTTTTTTCAACGTTTATTTATTTTTGGGACAGAGAGAGACAGAGCATGAACGGGCGAGGGGCAGAGAGAGAGGGAGACACAGAATCGGAAACAGGCTCCAGGCTCTGAGCCATCAGCCCAGAGCCCGACGCGGGGCTCGAACTCACGGACTGCAAGATCATGACCTGGCTGAAGTCGGACGCCTAACCGACTGCGCCACCCAGGCGCCCCTTCCTTTGGTTTTAAACTCTTAAGTGGTTCTTTATCATCTATGGAATAATGCCAACATTAAATAACTTTACCACTGTGCCTTATAAGGCTTCTTTATATGATTTGATTGAAAACTTATTTTTTTGTCATTGCCTGCTTTATATTTTGTGCTTTGGTAATGCTAAACTATCTCTTGTGTACTCCAGGGACTATAACTTTTCTTTAAGAAATAAATATATAAATGAATACAATTGTGTAGAATGCCCTTGGATTATAGAATTCCCTAGATAATACTTTAAAACTCCATAGTAATTTCAGGCATATAGTAAAAATTTCAGAATCTATGGGAAGACTCAAGAAATCATGTTTAATAAAGTGGAATTGCCATGTTTATTGCATGTTTTAAACACTTTATGCATACTGCAAATTGCCCTCTAGGATGATTTTGATAGATATGATATTGACAGGCAAGCAGGGAGAAAGTGCCCAGATGGTAGCTCTAAGGGAGAAGGAATGAAAGGAAGGTGTGTGCGGTATGTTTTGAGAAAGTGTTAAGGAATTTGATTTGCCTGGGACAGGTAACAGTTTTAGAAGATAAATGGGGGGGACATCTGGGTGG